TTAGCTAGCGCAGCCGCGAGCGGAAGGAGTGGGCTTATCCTGCGCCGCCAGCACAAGGATCTGCCAACAGCGAGGATAGCGACGTTGCAGAGTGGAGACCATCTGGAGAAGGTTCCTGTTCTCTCGCGGTGAACACCTGAAGCACCTTTCGCCTCTTGCGACAATGGGAATGTATGTGCGCAGCTGAAGGCCTCTTGTGTCGCAGCTTCCCTGGCCGGAGGCGCACGACGCGTAATACTCCACCTTGCGAGGAGAGTCCAGCTCGGCCGCCACGATTCGCCAATCCACGTCCAGAGCCTGGCCTTCCACCCTCGCAGCTGCTGCTAATAACACCACCACGAAAAAGAGTGTGAGTTTCATATTTCTGTTATTGCTTTTCCTTTTTTTCCCAAGACGATGTTCTAAATTTGCTGACACACAATGTGATCTGTACCCAGGGCTGCAAGCTTATTAAGCGGCCTGGCATGGGGACGCGGAAAGCATATAATATATATATATATAGATATATATATATATATATTATATATATATATATAGATATATATATATATAGATATATATATATATAATATATATATATATATATAGATATATATATATATAGATATATATATATATATATATAGATATATATATATATAGATATATATATATATAGATATATATATATATAGATATATATATATATATAGATATATATATATATAGATATATATATATATATAGATATATATATATATATTATATATATATATATAGATATATATATATATATATAGATATATATATATATATAGATATATATATATATAGATATATATATATATATATAGATATATATATATATATAGATATATATATATATAATATATATATATATATAGATATATATATATATAGATATATATATATATAGATATATATATATATATAGATATATATATATATAATATATATATATATAGATATATATATATATATAGCTATTCCTTCGGAGAGACTTATATCGAAATATGTAACAATAAATAAAAAAAATGGGAAAAATGAAAAATAAAAATAGATTAAAGAAAGTAATATATCAAAATAATTGTATAAGATATATATAAATGGAAAACAAAATAAAAGCAATCGAGTATTTTTATTACAATAAAGCAACTGATCACAAGCAATGCTTTAGACAAATAAAAACAAATTTCAGGTAAAATATTATAGTGTTAATTTTTTTTGCCTTTTTGTTGTGTTCCGTTGATATTTATTGATATGCGCCAACTTATACAAGTGAATACAAAGGCAAGAATCAAAACGAGCAATGTAGTGCAGTAATAAAAAAGGATTATTATATTTCATGTAGGTAATTTCAAGAAACAAGAATTTCCTATCGGTTAGGCTTATTTGGATGAACTCACACAGCTATGCGTGTGTGGATACGAAGCTAAGAATACATACGTGTTATTTCGGAATTCTAGACGTTTCTTTTTCATTTCATTGTAAAAAAAATAATGAAAAATCTAAAATGTTTAGTATTTTTCAGTTATGCTTGGCAAATTAAGAACATAATACATATATATGTACATTTATATGCACACACAATGTTATTTCAGCATACTTGATTTTTTATCGATTCTTTTATTATTGTTTTATTATTATTATTATTATTATTATTATTATTATTATTATCATTATTATTATTATCATTAATATTTTTATTATTATTACTTAATTTTTACAAAATCGTTTATCGATAGTGTGTGCTCTAGAACAAATTCTAGATAGGGTTGAAAGTATTTTTCAGTTAAACTCATAAAGATAAGAATGCTATTAAGAGTACATAAATAAAATAATTACATACCTAAACATATTCCTATCACTGATGTTCAATGAGCCGTATTCAAGTTCTTAGCAGTGTAAATGTCGGACTGAACTTGCAACGAGAAATCATCATTGCATGAATAGCGAATAAACAGTCGATGATACAAAAGTTAATTAGGTGCCTTTACAACATGGCCAATACAAGTCATTTCAGTGAATATGACACGTGACGCTTATTAGTCATTTCAACAAATTGCATTGATAGCCAGGATCGCAAAACATCATCATTAGCATTACGAAATGAAAGTTCACCATATTTTCACGAAATTACCTTTTCACTGATTACTTTGTGTATTTCTTTATACTATATCAGTGTATTCATTTGTTTACTGATTGATCTTCTGTATAGAAAACACATTTAATATTATTAGCAGCCCCCCCTCCCCCCAATAAAATGTTTCCCATTATGTTGATGACAAACACACACACACACACACACATATATACATATATATCCGTAGGCTATATATGTGTGTATATATATATATATATATACAGTACACACACGCATATATATGCATGTATATAAAATATGTATCTATAAATATATAGTTACATATACTATAGCTTATATATATATATATATATATATATATATATATATATATATATATATATAAAATTAAATATACATACATACATTGTACACAGACATGTGTGTATATATATATATATATATATATATATATATATATATATATATTTATATATAATTATATATACATACATACATTGCACACATACATGTGTGTATATATATATATATATATATATATATATATATATATATATATACATATATATATATATATATATATATATACATATATATATATATATATATATATATATATATATATATATATATATATATATATATATATATATATATATATATATATATATATATATATATATATATATATATATATATATATATATATATATATATATATATATATATATATATATATATATATATATATATATATATATATATATATATATATATATATATATATATATATATATATATATATATATACATATACACACATACATGTACATGCAGATCCGAATACATATGCATGCTATAACTGAATACACTAAAAAGGAAACAGATAGATCGACAGATATTTCAAGTGTTGCTGATTATGCATCAGAATACTGGAAATTTCCATGTGATTAGAGTCATCCTGGCAAACAAAGGGAAAGGGAAATTATGACTCAAAGTCGAATTATGGACAATTTCATTTGATTCTAGAAAAAAAGATAGTGCGGGTCCTCATATGTATCAGATATGAAGAAAGCATATATTTAGCAGCCTGTAGTATTCACTGTCAGAGAGAACAATTATAATAGGTAACTTTTATGATACTGGATTGAGTTCGTCAGTTCTTTGATATTTTAGTAGTCATAAACATCAGAAGTGTGCCTGTTCTTGTTTTTGCATCCTCATAATCAAAAGCTCAAATAACCCAATTCAAAATACTAAAAGCTTTAGTTAAAGTTTCACTATGAGAATCTGTAAGTGTAAACTATATTGTTAATTCATAGTCCCTTACTATATAAGGTATTGTCCACTGCTATTAACGTATATTAACTTGGATGAGTGATGCATCTTTACAAATTATCGTTACCATTGTCACGGTTACAAGCAGTATTGCTATATTCATTGCTAACATTTTCATTGTTATTTTTGTATTAAATCAGTATAATGATTATCACATCGCTTTCTGTTATTCTGCGTGTACATGATTACGATAAACTATTAAAGCAAATTTTGCGTGTAATTCTTCTGTGTATCTTCTCATCGAACTCGACATATATATTTGTATCGCTTGTGAGATGTAGAAATACTGTGTTAACACAATCATTTTGATTATGACTCAGAAAATGATACAATTAGGTAGCTTATAATATATATACATACACATGTATGTATAGTTGCATGTATGTGTATATATGTTTATATAAATACACGCACACATACTATAACATAATATATTCATATAATTTTGTTGTCGGGGTTCATGTAATATATACATATATACATGCATATATATGATCACGTAATTGATATTCATATACTTTTATTATTGCTTTATGTATTCAGATAATAAAAAACTAGTTTCACTCTTGAGTTTTATAATTTTCAATACATGAAAAATAGCATACCCTACCCTTCCTTGCGAATAAGGAAATATTTGACTCATCTCTACTTAGAAATACAGCTGTTCAGGAAAGACCATTTAGCTAGCGCAGCCGCGAGCGGAAGGAGTGGGCTTATCCTGCGCCGCCAGAACAAGGATCTGCCAACAGCGAGGATAGCGACGTTGCAGAGTGGAGACCATCTGGAGAAGGTTCCTGTTCTCTCGCGGTGAACACCTGAAGCACCTTTCGCCTCTTGCGACAATGGGAATGTATGTGCGCAGCTGAAGGCCTCTTGTGTCGCAGCTTCCCTGGCCGGAGGCGCACGACGCGTAATACTCCACCTTGCGAGGAGAGTCCAGCTCGGCCGCCACGATTCGCCAATCCACGTCCAGAGCCTGACCTTCCACCGTCGCAGCTGCTGCTATCAACACCACGGAAATGAGTGCGAGTTTCATGTTTTTCTTACTCTCTTATCACAAAGTCAGCGTGTTTATTCTACTGACACGGTTACAATGTGGTCTGAACCTAGGATCGAGAGCTTATTAAGCTGCACGATTTCACAATTCCCACGTGACGTGGGGACGCGGGAATGTAGTAGCCACTCTATCGCTTCGAACCTTTTCTAAATATTTTCTAAATAGTAGCTGTTAAGGCTTTTTCTCTCTCGCATGAATGAATATCAATGTAAAATTAATAAGATATACCGGATTGAAAGAGAAGAATGATTGACATTAACCACATAAATTCAATCAGAACTGTTTATTCAGTTTAAGCATTGTTCACTTCTTTACCATGAAATATAGCATTTTGTTGGTCCGCTTTTGCTTTTAACCACGCCTGTAATTCATTCTAAAAATCAACAAGCGCTGGCAAGAACAACGTGATTCAGAAGATGAAATTGTAGTTATTATATTCACATGAAGATCATTTTGAGATACATCCATAAAATACTTTAAATACTTGGTAGTGTATTTTTAACGGGGAATAGGAAAGATAGAAATTGCTTATTAAAATTTTGTCTGTTTTACTATGTATGTCCTAATTGCCATTGCTTTTTAAACAATATATGCATATATATATATATATTATATTATATTAATAATATTTATATATATATAGATATATATATATATATAGATATATATATATATAGATATATATATATATATAATATATATATATATAGATATATATATATATATTATATATATATATATATCTATATATATATATATTATATATATATATATATATCTATATATATATATATATCTATATATATATATATCTATATATATATATATAATATATATATATATAGATATATATATATATAT